CACACACACACACACACACACACACACCGCCAGCATGAGAGTCAGTAGAGCCTACCCAGAGGCGTGAAGAAAATCCCAGACGAGACGAGGAAGCCCAGCACGAGCCCGACACACAGCATGCAGAGCGTGAGGGTCCCAAATCGCCACCACGAGGCCACCAGGAGGATCCCGCCGATGCTGCCAGCAACAGCGGTGAGGGCCAGGCGGACTGCACAAGGGAGAAGGCACAGGAAGGTGGATCAGCCTGCTTCAACCTCAACTTCAGCCTGCACATCCTTAAAGACACTGTCACCCCAGGGCTGGGGACAGGCCAGCTTTGTCAGTAAGAAAGCAAAAGTGACAACCAATCTTAAGTGTGGTGGGGGAGGGGCCATGGTGGGGGAGGGGCTGTGGTGGGGAAGGGTCCATGGGAAGGTGAAGGGTTGTGATAGGGGATGGGCCATGATGGAGGTTGAGGGGCGGTGGTGGTGAGGGGTTGTGGCGGGAGATACATCCTGATAGGGGAGGCTGAGGATGTGGCTCAGCCAGCAGAATGTTCGCCTGGCATGAAACTCCGGGTTCTGTACCCAGCATTAACCTGGAAGGATCAGAACTTCATCCCATCCTCTGCTACACTGTGAGTTCTAGGCCAGCTTTAGTGACATCAGACGCTGTCTCAAAAAACAGATGGAGCTGGGGAGAGGAGAACGTGTGAGGTATTTTCCCCCAGTGGGGAGTGTGTGCTATGTGGGGCACTGCCTTACTCTGTAGTCCAGGCTGGCTTAAACTCACACGGACCCTTCTGCCTCTGCCTCACACACACTGGACTGACAGGTGCACATGACCACACCCAGGTTTATCTGGTTCTGTGGCACTGGGATCTCACTGGCTAGGCAGAGGTTTTACTGCTGAGCCACTCCCGGCTCAGACCTTTTGTTTGATTGATTTTTTTTTTTTTCCTGAGCCAGGGTTTCTCTGTGCGTCCTGGCTGTCCTGGAATTCACTCTGTAGACCAGGCTGGCCTTGAACTCACAGACCTGCCTGCTTCTGCCTCCTGAGGGCTGGGATTAAAGGTCTGAGCCACCACCGCCCTAGTTAGTTTTATTTTTTGAAACAAGGTTTTACTACATAGCACAGGCAGCTCTCAGACATTTAATCTTCCTGCCTCAGTCTCCTGAGTGTTGGGATTACAAGCCTGTGCCCTGATCCTAGTTCTTTGCTGTAGCCGGAAAAACAAGCCCAGATATGGAGGTGGAGCAGGGTTCCAGGAGCAGGTTGGCCACTGCCTCACACTTTGTGCATACGGCACCCAGTGCAGGTTAAGCTCCAGGAGGCAGGGTGGGTGCAAACCCAGCAGCTCCCTGTCTGGACTCCCGGCTAAACCATCATCTGTACTCACCGTCGTACTTAAGGGATGTCAGTCTGGTGATGATGATGTAAAAGAAGAAGCCCACGAAGATGAAACCAATGAAGAATAATTCTAGGAGGAAACCATCAGGAAATGGGAAACAAACAAAAGCCTACGTCAGGCATCTTCACAATGCTACAGAGGCATCTAATTTACAAGTCTGTGCCCGGGTGTCTAGAACTAGACGCCATGGCTATTCCCAGAGAGAACTGTCATCTGAGAGGCGGGGAAACATTAGAAGTCGGTAGTCACGGTTCTGTTATTAAATGGGTGATGGATATACTGGGCTGCAGCATCGGATACAAGTGTGCCCGCCTGTGTGATGCCCGTTATATAATTTAATGGTCACTTGCTAATTTCGTGGTTCTTTTACTATGTCCCTCTCATAGCCCGGGCTAGCTAGCAGGCTAGCAGAATGAGGGTATCTCATTACTACGGGAATGGTACCTGTTTTCCAGAATCTGTGTCCAAAGAAACAAACGAAGAGGCCAAGCAGGGCAAACACGGTGGAGAACACTTTGGTAGATATTCTTCCTTAAAAATACATAAATAAAGAAATGAAAATTAGCAGGCAAATGCATCCGCATTAACTAATAAGCAAAGCAGGGAGGAAAGGAAGGTGAACTGGCTTGAGATCATTGCTCCCAAAAATATCCTTGTTCCCCTAATGAGTTAACCTATGCAGGCGATTACTCATGGCTGCTTTTTGTAACATGGAGAACCAAACAGCACAGGCTCTTGACACCCATGGTGTTCTCTAGGAAGGGCATAGCAGAGCGTGTGCCTGAAACACGTCTATGTTGTCAACAAATAAGCTGCAGGGAGAAAAGCGGGGAGACTCAGTTAAAATTCATAGACACGTGAACTAAACACAGATCTCATCTACAGCCTGACTCAGACCACTGTGGTGATCCATGCCTGTCTCCCCAGCCCTGGAGGACTTGTATGTCCTTGTATATCCAAGGCCAGCTGTGCTGCACAGTCAGTTTCCACCCAGCCTGAGATAAAGAGGGAGGCCTGTAAAAACACTGAACCACAGGGGCTGGAGAGGTGGCTCAGCGAGCAAGAACATTCCTCGCTTCTATAGAGGACTAGCAGTTCACATTCAGCTGTAACTCCAGCTCTATAGCGCCCAACGCCCTCTTCTGGCCTCTGCTGGCACTGCACTCACAGAGTTCACAGGTTACACGAAAGCAAAGCATCCACATACATAAAATAAAAGCAAATAAATTGCTCTATTGTTTTTAAAAATAGATAGCCATTATCAAGAGAAAACACAGCTCAGCAAATTCACCTTCCTTGGAAGTCCTTCAAAAATGAGTATCAAGAAATAATCCTTCAATAAGAGCAGACACAAAACATCCACACACACTGAAAACCTTACAAGCTGGTCACAAATTCAAATGCAACAGTGATGTGGGGCTCTCCTCTGTATGCTGTCAGTGTGCTTTACTACCATTGGCTAATAAAGAAGCTGCTTCAGCCAATGGCTTGGCAGAGTAAAGCCGGGTAGGAAATCCGAACAGAGATATAGAGAGAGAGCAGGTGGAGTCTGGGAGACATCATGTAGCTGCCGAAGGAGAAGGACACTGGAACCTTATCCAGCAAGCCACAGCCTCGTGGCGATACACAGATCAATGGAGATGTAAGAGTTAGCCAGAAATACTCCTGAGCCATTGGCCAAGCAGTGCTATAATTAATATGTTTCTGTGCGATCATTCGGGACAGGGCATCTGGGAAACTAAAGCGCAGTCTCCGGCTGCACATCAGTGTCCAGTGGAGAGAGCGTGAGAACACGCGTGTAAGCAACAAGTGAACGGTGTGATACACGGTTGGTCCACAGATCTGCTTCTCTCCACACTGTGAGATCAACTGAGCAGACAATAAAAATGCGCATTCTGCTTCAGAATGTGGGTGACTGTCACCAAACTCACAGAGCTGGCAGGACATTCTGGGGCGTGGAAAGACAGCTTACTTAGGAAAATGTCTAACAAGCCCAAGGATGGGAGTTCAGATCAACATTCACGTAAAAAGCTGGGTGTGGCAGCGAATGCTCCCCAGTGCTGGGGAAGCGGACAGGAGGACCCCTGGGCTTGTTGGCCAGCTGGTCTAGCCAAAGTGGGGAGCTCCAGCTACAGCAGGAGACTCTGTCTCACAAGATGATGTTGAGAGTGACATGGGAAGACATCCAACATCAACCTCTGGCCTCCACATGCACACACATGTGTGCACACACATGAACACTGTCTTAGTTACTTTTTTATTGGTGTAAAGACACACCATGACCAAGGCAAGTTATAAAATTATAAGTTGAAGCCCAGAGCCCACGCTGCCCCACAGGTGGACCTGGACCCCATCCCATCCCACACCCTTGGCCTCGTGACCCCTGTTCTCCAGGCTCTGATGGCCTCACTGCCCGGCTCAAACCTTCTGCCTCCAGTCAGGTGTCCAAGAGCAGGGCTGGGCATGGCTGTCCCCTCTGCCTGGCACATACAGAGCCCCAGTGTGCTCCTGCCTGCAGGGCCTTCACCAGCCTCATCACCTCACTTTTCTCTCATCTGCATGCGACTGCTCCCTGCCTGTCTTGCGCTGTGTTTTTTCCTGGTACCCATGAACTTCTCAAATGCTACTACATATATGTGTTTGTGCTTGTGTGTGTGTGTGTGTATGTGTATGTGTGTTATATGCATTATAAATACAGCATACCCATCTTATCTCCCTTACTACACACGCACACACTCACACACACTAACTCTCACACTCACGCACGCACACACACACTGTAAATAGGGGGGAAACTGACCCCAGTAAATGTGCGACAATCTGGCTTGTCTGTTGTTATTGCAGTATTCTGGTTTTGTGTCGATATATTCTGTTGCCTTGCATGGGGTATAGTAACATGGCACCCTTTTTTCAGATTTATTTCCTTTATGTGTTGACTGCTTTGCTTGCACATGGGTCTGTGCACCACGTGCATGCCTGGTACTCACAGAGGTCAGCAGAGGTCAGCAGATACCCTGGGACTGGAGTTACAGGTGGTTGTGAGCTGCCACGTGGGTGCTGGGAGCTGAATCTGGATCCTTTGCAGGAAGGTGCTCATAACTAGTGAGCCACCCCTTCCCCTGTGTGGGGGTCTTACAAACGGTAATGGCTAAGTGAGTGAGCAGAAGCTAGACAAAGCATCTCTAGAGAATCTTAAGCTCTTCACTAGTGGAAACTGATCTGCGAAGCCAAGGACGCATGTGTGCGGGTTTAAGTGCACATACTCACCAGGAGAGGCACAGCTACCACCCCCTGACTCCAAGCTGCAGGCATACGTGTGCACGGGAACATAAGCAGCAGACGTGTTGAGGGTCGGGTCCCAGACAATGACATTATAAATAACTCCTTGTCCCGGGAGGGAAGAGAAGGACACGGTTGTTTTGTCGTCCGCTGTCAGGGTAACCACCTAAAGCCAAACATAACAAGCCGTGTTTACGTGGCCTTTTAGAGCCATGGTCGCCTGTGCAAACCAGGACAGTGTACACTCCAGAATGGAGTCCCCAGGGGCAATTGACAGCTGAGGGCTTTGGGGGAGGGAAAGTCAGTTTCCTTCTGGGGAAGATTTTATTTGGATGTGCATGCGCATGTGCGTGTGTGCGTGTATGACTGTCCATGGAGTGTGGTACTCATGGAGTCCAGAAGGGGGCGTCAGATCCCCCAGAGCTAGAGCTACAGGCAGTTCTGAGCTGCCTGATGGAGGTGCTGGGAACTGAATCCAAGTCGTCTGTGAGAATAGCAAGTGCTCTCAACAGCTGGGCCATCTCTCCAGCCCTCACAGTCAGTTTTCTTTAAGAATGCAGCCCCCGGCTGGAGGGATGGCTCAGTGGTTAAAAACACTGGCTGCTTTTCCAGAGATCCTGAATTCAATTTCCAGCAACCAAATGGTGGCTCACAACCATCTGTAATGAGAGCTGGTGCCCTCTTCTGGCAGAACACTGAATACATAATAAATAAGTAAACCTTGGTGGTGGCAGCGCATGCAGGCCTTTAGTTCCAGCACCTGGGAGGCGAAGACAGGAGGATCTCTGTGAGTTCAAGGCCAGCCTGGTGTGCAGAGAGAGTTTCAGGACAGGCTCCATAGCTACAGAGAAACATTGTCTTGAAAAACAAACAAAAAAGAATGTAGCCCCTGTAGGCTGACCATGTTCCACTGGATGGCTCATACTCGCACAAACAGGACTCAGTAGGTTATTTGAATCAAACAAGGAGACAGAAGTTGGGAGGGAGTTCAGGGGCTGATCTGGGAGTAGTTAGAGGGAGGAGTTAGGAGCTAATATGATTGAAATACATTGCATTCATGTATGAAATTCTCAAAGAATTAGTAAAAATGTTAAAAATATTAACCAGGGCTGGGAGGTGGAGATGCACGCCTTTAATCCCAGCACTCGGGAGGCGGAAGCAGGCGGGATCTCTGTGAGTTCAAGGCCAGCCTGGTCTACAAGAGCTAGTTCCAGGACAGCTAGGGCCGTTACACAGAGAAACCCTGTCATAAAACAAAATGAAACAAATGAACACCAATGGGCAAATCCTTCAAGTGTTTCTAAGTTTTTAGACTTTTCCCTTTTACACTTTCCAGAAGCTCTTCTCTAAGTCACTGGAGTGAGAAAATATTATCACCTACTTCTTTCCCTACATCAGGACGGTGAGGTCACAGGCGTGGCTGCAGTGGAAAGAGAAGGAACTCGCTTCTCCAATGCTAACGCCCTGTCAGAGCACCCGACCCGCTACATGAGGTGCAAGATCCAGACTCACCTTGACCGCACTGGCCTTCACCTGGGGCACCTGGACCATCCTCTGAAGATGCTGGAGCAGCGAGGCCTCGGTGAGGTCGCCCTCGGGCAGAAAGTACTGATACACGTCGTACCGCAGCCTCCACCTGGACTCCTGGCCCGTGCTCACGTCGCACGGTGGGGGCTCTGCGCCTCTAAAGCCAACCAACAAAACTGAGCATCAGTGCCTTGTCGAGGGGAAGGAGCCAGGGCTCCGATTTCAGTCTTCTGTAGGCACAGTTCCAATTTTACCACTGTGGAGTCTATGTGGTACTCTATACAGGGAAGTAGCACACAACGATGGGCTGGATTGGAGCTGCTCAAAATCCATACCGGAAGTCCCTGCCTCCAGTGTGACAGCATTAGAAGTGGGCTTTGGGGAGATAGTTAGGTCATGAGGGAGGAACCCTGAGTGGGACTGGTGTCTCATAGACAGCCTGGGCAGGTCTCAGGCACACTTCCCTTCTCATATGGACTAAATATGAAGTCTGCAACCCGCAGGACAGCCCCGCCAAGAGCCCACAGGTGCCACCTTCAGGAGTGTGAGAAGGGCATTTCTGGCGTGATGCACGGCTGTAACTTGAGAAGCAACTTCAAGTCAAGCCTGGTCTACACAGCAACTTCCGAACCAGCCAGGGACACGCATAAGGAAATAAACCAATGCCTACAACTAAGTGAATGAGCAAATTCCTGTTGTTCATAATCCACCCGTGCAGTTTATGGTACAGACTGACAGCCCTTAATCTAAAAACCTGGAACCTGGAACTTCTGGGGCTCTTCTAAGATCTGAAGTTTCAAATTTGTTACTATTCTGGCTCTCAGATCAGTGAAATCCTCTGGCCCCAATGCTTCGGGTAAGGGATGCTTAGCCTATTCTTTATGGAGGCGGCACTGACTCTCTCTCTCTCTCTCTCTCTCTCTCTCTCTCTCTCACACACACACACACACACACACACACACACACACAGAGGCTGATGTGGCTGAAAGGAAAAAAAAACAGATTCTAAAGTGGGTTGTGCCCAGAACATCTTTGCTATCTGATAGTGTATTATGTGGTTTAAAAGATTTGATTTTATTTTTAATTATGTGTGTGCACATACACGGGCATGCAGACATGTGCACTTCTGAGTGTGGGTACCCGTGGAGTCCAGAAGAGGGAGCCCAACCTCAAAGGCCCCTGAAAGCGTCTCTATAAAATGAAAACAACTGCTTCTTCACAAGAGAGCCCAGACCAAGTAACAAGAGCACTCAGCACTGTGGCAGGCGGGTGGGCGGGCTGAGCGCTTTCAACCACTCCTTGCTCTTAAAGTGGAAACTGAGGCAGAGGTCTGCAAAAGTATATGCTCACAAGGTGTAAGAATTTAGGGCTATGGAATGTCTTCCATATTTAAATGCTTTGAGAAAACTAAGACAGGGCTGGAAAGACAGTTCAGTGGTTAAGTTCACATATTTCTCTTAGAGACCCCCAGCGCCCACACTAGGCAGCTCACAACCACCTGTAACTCCAGGTCCAGGGTGTTGTGGGAATTACTGTAACTGTGTAAAGGTGTGTTCCATGTTTCAGCTGCCCTCACGATGTAAAGATGCTGCTTTTGTTTCACCTTGCCTGCCTAAGGCACCTGACTGGTCGGCAGGAGAGGGACAGAAGGAGCTGGAGGGCAGAGAGAATGAGTAGGCGAAATCTAGGCTTGAGAAGAAAGAGAACGAGAGAGAAAAAGAGAGAGACACGGGGGTCTGCCAGGCAGCCGCCAGCCAGCAGACAAGGAACAGGACATTAAAAAAGAAAGAAAGATAAAAAGCCCCAAGACAAAATGTAGATAAAGAGAAACAGATTAAATAAGAGTTAGGCTAAGGCCGAGCATTTGTAACTGATAAGTCAGTGTGCCATGATTTGGGAGCTGGTTGGTGGCCTAAAAGAAAGCCGGCTACACAAGGGCATCTGGCACCCCAGCCTTTCCAGGCACCTGTACACATAACCATAACCAGAGATTGTTCTGTTTCCCGGTTACCCAGACCTGAATAATCACACAGAAACTAGATTAATTACAACACTGTTCGACCTATTCGCTCAGGCTTCTTATTAACTAACTCTTACATCTTAAAATAACCCATTTCCATTATTTTATATTTTATCACAAGGCTGTGGCCTACCAGTAGGCATGTTTCTCCTTTGGCAACAACATGATATCTCCCTAACTCCGCCTACTCTCTCTGTCTCTGTTCAGATTTCTCACCTGGCTTTACTCTGCTAAGCCATTGGCCCAAACAGCTTTGTTCATCAACCAATAAGTCAACATCTATACAGAAGGCCATCCCACATCATATATCCACATATACATACACACACTTAAAAATAATAAAAATTTAAATCTTAAAAAATAGAAAACTAAGATATACTTCCAATATCCCAACAGGCTCATATCACACCCGTCTCTTCGAATAAAGAATTCAAAATGATTAAGGAGATTATTCAGTATAAACAATAGCTCAAATATTAGCATTGAGATTTAAATTATGCCACCACCACCCCCAACAAAAAAGAATTCAACTTTACTGTAGAAAATGATGGGTTTGAGACAGTTGGCTGGACCTGCTCTTGCAGACGAGAGAACCCTAGGAGGGGTTTCAACAGAGGGGCTTCGGCCGCCATACCTTGCATAGCCTAGGTTGGCTGGTGCAAACTTGATAGTTGTTTCAAAAGGATTATAGTCCAAGTAAATGTTGGGATCGATATCTAAATCAAACTCCAAATTACAGCCTCCAGGAATGGGATCTGGATGAAAAGCGATGAGATTAGCAACCCACGAATTCTTATCACGCTCTAGGAAACAGATCTTTCACGAGAACTTCCTATATAGCGATCGGTCAGCACAGAACACCAGTGTTTTCTGCCGTATCATGATTGCGGTTCGGAAGTGCACGGGTCCCTCAAAATGTCCTTCTCAAACTCAGGGCTGTATGCGCTGTACCACAGAGCTGCCCCCCAGCCCTACTCCCAAACTGTAACAGTCTGAATTTCCCCACCCCACCATCACTTAGCCATCGCTGTGACCTGGCTCTCGTCCTCACGCTGTCAAGAGAACGCCCTGATGCACCACTCCTGGTTCGGGTGCCCCTCCTACCTCCAGAGATCCCAGCCCTGCATTTACTCTGCAGTAGTTACCACCAGCCCAGTCCAGTGCCTGACGTGTGCTCCACTCTAGGAAACGATCAAATTCCCCCAGGGGTCTGAGTTCCTGCTTGAACCATCTCATGCATGGCCTTGTCTTTACACCGGCTATCTACACAACCTCACTCCTCTGCATGGCCTTGTCTTTACACCGGCTATCTCACAACCTCACTCCTCTACGCCAGACCAGCATTCTAACAGCCAACCCTGAGCTTCCAACCTGATGTCCTACAAGCACCTCAGATTCTCTGTGCCCCTTTCAGAAGTCACTACTGGCGCCATGACACCCACAAAAGAACCGGCTCCTCAGACAGCACCATAGCTAAACTGGAGACTGCCACATATGATTGTCCTGACTGGAGCCCTAGGCTCCTCTCTAACGTGCAGCCACTGTTCCAACCCCACAGCCCTGGCTCAAGACCTGTGTTCAGATGCCCTCACAGCCGTACCCAGTGCTGACTCTGCTCTTTCTTCTTCATGTAGCTCAGGCTGGCCTTCGACCTGCATGGAGCTGACTGTGAACTGTTAGTCCTCTTGCCTCCACCTCCCCTGGGCTGGATTACAGGCACGTGACACAGTGCCAGTTTTCCGGACATGGAACCCAGGGCGTCATGCATGCTGGGCAAGCACTGACCAACCAAGCTGCATCATTAGTCCTAAGATGAAACAGACTACAGCCCTCCTCTGCCCCGGCTATCTGCTTCCTCTGAACCCACCTTAGCACTGTGTGCAAAGGCATCCAAGGCTCTTTGCTCCCTGGCTCTAGACACACCCGTTGCTTGCCACTCTCCAAACCCTGCACCTTCTTTAGGACAAAAGCCTGCCGCCACCTCTGCCTACAATAACGTGTAACTGTGAAGGGCTGGTTCCAAGGCTGCTTTCTCTGCCTCTCTTACACCGAAACACTCCGATCAAATAAACTGTACTTGTAATAAACAATCTTACCAGGATAATTTTCCTTAGGTTTCCACAAAGTTCATATTCCACAGATGAACTCAGACAGGAAATTACCTCTTTCTGAGTAGGAGAGTGGAATGGCCACGTTTTGAACAGGCTTGGCATCTTTTGTCTCCAAGTACCAGGTGCACATAGTCTGCTCGGGTCTAAGAATGAAAACCAGCCCTCTGTCGTTGCCTGTGCCCGAGGTGCCCGGGAGGAGGGTCTGCATTTGGGAAGCAAAGCCACCATGAAGACAGAAGTGAGAAGTCACACACACTGCAGAGCTACCCAGTGTGTGCAGCCCTCTCCAAAGCCCTCTTCACTTCTATGTTCACACATCCACACCTTCGCACAGGAGAGCTCCCTGCAACACACCATTATTGAGGGCTGGAGATGGCTCAGTGGTAAAAGCACTGGTTGCTCTTCCACAGGACCTGAGTTCGATTCCCAGCGTTCACATGATGGCTCACAACAGTCTATAGTTCCAGTTCCAGGTCTACACAGGCACCAGGCATGTATGTGGCACACAAACACATATACTGATAACAACACACCTGTGTAAAACACAGTTCAGAATCTATACTATTGCCTCAGTCAGTCTGAATTGCTGTAACAAATACAACAGGTTTTAGGGCTTATAAACACAGCAGAGAGAGGAAGTCACTCTTGGGGAGCCTATGTTATAGGGCTGATATCTTATTATTGGTAAAGGCTTTCTTGTGACACCTCCCAGTTGCTGCTTTTAATTATCTTTATGAGTATCTGTGCGTGTGCATGCAAGTGTGAACATGTACATATGCCGGGTATGTGAGCATACATGTGGAGGCCAGAGGCTGACACCAGGTACCATCCTTTATTCCTCTTCAATTTGTTATTTTAATTAATTTATATATTTTAGATATATCATTTGTTTTGTTTTTGTTTGCCTGCATGTGTGCATGTGCAGCACGCGTGTGCCTGGGGCCTGTAGAGGTGTCAGATCTCCTGAGACTGGAGTTAGAGACCAACATGAGCTGCCCTGTGAATGCTGGGGACAGAGCCCAGGCCCTCTCCAGGAACAAGTGCTCCTAACCGCTGAGCCATCTCCAGCCCCTCCAGGTTATTTGGAAGACAGGGTCTCTCACTGAACCTGGGGCTCATTGATTGGCTAGACTGACTAGCCAGGGAGCCCTGTTTCCACCTCCAAGGTGCTGGGCTAATAAACACAAACCAGGCCCAGCTGCCTTTTTGTTTGTTTTGGTGGGTTCTAGAGATCAAACTGAGCCATCTCCTGGGCCCTCTGTTTCTGTTTCTTAACACCAAGACCCTAGCGGTAAAGCTCTTGCCTCTCGGGTGTGATGGCCTGGGCTTTGGCCCAGGCTTGATGTGGGGTTGGAGTAAACGGAAACTCCAGGAATTGTACGCTCAAGTTTTCAAGTATTACGGTTCAGCTGAATTAAGATTTCTTCTGTCAGGTTCTGAGGCTAACAAGACAAAACAGGAGCTCTGACCCCAGAGAGTTCAGTTTACAAAAAAGCTTTGGTCTTACGGATTTATTTATTTGGTCACTATCTTTATCTTGTGTGTAGGAGGATTTTTGCCGGCATGTGTGTCTGGTGCCGTGGAAGCTAGAGGAGGCAGTCAGAGTCTCAGGGCCTGGAGTTAGAGACGGTGTGAGGCGCCACAGGGGTACTGGGAACCGAACCAGGTCCTCTGCAAGAGCAGCCGGTGCTCTTTAACCGTGGAGCCGTTTCTCCAGCCTGCGGGAAACCTCTTCCTTTAAGACAAGGGTTCACGTAAGACAGGTGGGCTCAGCTCTTAGTCCTCCTGCCTTCGGAACAAGAATGTTCTCGGAAGGCTGAGTGAATGAGAAGGAAAAAGGTACCCGGTGAGTTTCAATTTGGCAAGCCTCAAAGGGAGCGGAGAGAGTAGAGTGGGTAGCTTCAAAGGACCGCTTGCTGTGACAAACAAAAAACATGAGAGCGCCCCGCCCATCAGGGGGACAGAAGACGGACACTGCTTTTCACACAGTCATTTCTAGAGCCCTGTGAGATTCAGTCTGTGAACCAGGGGAATGGAGGGTGGCTTAGGCAATGAGACTCTATGACCAAGGTGACGGGGGCCTTTGCTGGAGACCAGGCCCACGCATACATGCAGACGTTAGATTCTGACATGCGAGGCTTGGCACTGTATGGACGATCTCTTTACTGCAATCATCCTTTGTGCTTACCTTAGTGAACGAGATGGTGGTGTTCTGATACTGCGAGTGTATTTGGAAAAGAAGAAAGGTCACATTGCTTGAAATATGGCGCAGAATGGCCTCCTGCTTCCTCCTGCTGAGCAGAAAGTAGGTGAACTTTCCCACAGAAAATTCTAGAAAACCTACAATGGGAAAATGTTCATTACAATATAGTACCTCTACTATCAACTATGCAAATTTCATCCATTAAAAAATGTACAGTGCTAGTAACACTCAGAAAAACCCCTTGAGAGCCATGTCTGGTGGGGCCCCTGGGAGGCTGAGCAGCGGGACCTATGTAAGTGAAGGCCAGCCTGGGCTCACATCAAGGGCCTGCTGCTGTTTAGGTGGTGTGTGAAGAGGAGGAGACATACAGACTGCAGCCCAGAGCTCGTGCAGGCATGGCTACCTGTGCCAGGTGCATATGACTGACCCTGTCAGCAGTCACGGATAGGAGAGCAGCTCCGAGGCCCTGCCCTTCCTGCTGAACTATGACTCCTGGCACAGTCTGGGGTATCACTGTCTTCAGTTGTGAGCCCATTACCGAGCCTCCTGGTTTCCAACAGGTACGTTCACACCCTTGTATGAAAATGACAAACAGTTTAATTCATTTTGTAAAAATGACCCTGTCTCAAGAACACCAGTATGCTTTCTGGCTTGTCTGCTGCAGCGGGGTCAGTTTTCCTGGCCCTTGGGGATCTCAAAGGTCTCACTGTGCAAGGAGCTCTCAGCTCATTTCTGTCCTCCGTTTTCACGTTTCACCCCCACATAAACCACACAGACACCACACACATACCATACATACACAGACACCACACACAGACATACCATACAGACATACCACACACACACTACATACCACACACACACACCACATACACATACATACACACACACACACACACACACACACAGACATACCACACACACACCACATACACACACACACACACACACACAGAGTTCCCCTCATTTTCTGCATCTGGCAAGTATCAGCAGCACTTTTATAAGATCACTCTGTCTGTACCTAAGACTTGGGCAAGCAAATTCACAAAATCTCTCCAAGGTGCCCCCCACATCACCTCTTGGGTTTGCTTCCAGTGGGTTCTGGAACATGCTCTGGTGGGACTTAGCATCAAGATGCATGATGCTTATTTCCACATACACGCAAGAAGACACGCAATTGTTCGACACAGACCACTTTCTAGGTCGCAGGCATCTGTCCATGTCAATGCTGATAATTCAGGGGATGTAGCTGTAACTCAGTGACAGGGCATGTGTGTATCATGTGTGAGGCCTTGGCATCCATACCAGTACTGAAGGGGAAAGGGTAATTCTAACTCGGCCCTTTTGAAAGCTTTTTAGCATCCCCTTGTATGTATGTATGTATGTATGTTTGTATGTATGTACACATACCATATTTACTACACACATATACTGATGAGCATAATCACTGCTATTCTAGTATGAAAAACAAATCAGGAAAATGGCTATGCATGGCATGCAGACTTCGAATCTCAGCACTCAGAGGTCAAAGTTAGCCTCAGCTAGACAGTGAGTTTGGAGCCAGCCTGCACTACAGGAGACTCTGTCTCGCAGTTCCCCAAAATAAAATAAAATAAAATAAAATAAAATAAAATAAAATAAAATAAAAATGTTTTGTCTCAAGGGAGAGTGTTCTACGAAGCATACAGGTCAGATGATAAATTTATGTGAGATTTTTGTTGCCACGGAGTAACAGATGACCTTTGTCCTATGGTTAAACTATAGCTAAGGTGTATTCCTGTCTGAAAACACATAAATGAAAACCAACAGCCTGAGACCCTGCCTCGGGAACAGGGCTGACAGGTGAAGCGGAAGCCTCTGCCTTCAAGAACTCCACCCAGCCTTCCAGGAACTATGAGACCTCGGCTCAGTGTGGACTGCATTTGCAGAGAAGATGCTCACGGAGGCCCCACCCCCACATGGAGGGAGGCCCTGCCCCCACATGCCAGGAGCAGGAACCAGGCAGAAGACAGATAGTGAAGGCGGGTGGCGGGGAGACATTGTCTACAGCATCTCAAACCTAGTCCTGTTGCCTTCACATCAGTAACATTACGAACAGGTGCCCTAAATTAGTTCTCTTTTCCACACAGCTCCGATTTATCACAGTTTCTAGAGTTATCAGAAGTGTCCTCATCATAAGGAAATCACAATATATCCTGGTCGTTTGTGGCAGCCACGGAGGTGATCTGTTGTCCACACTCTTCCAAATCCCTAGCAGTAGCTGCAGATTGAACTTAAAACCAAACACTTGTTCAAACAGCACAGAGAAGGGTTAGGCCGATAACCCAGTCGGCAGAGGGGCTTGACGAATGCCCTGCATTGGATCACCAACAATACCTAAGCAGGCTCTGGATGCTGTAATCCCGAAACTGGGGAGACGGGTGGAGGCAGGAGGAGCAGAAGTTCAAGTCACTCGCAGCTATGTGGGTAGCTCAAGGCTAGCCTGGGCTAAACAAGACCCCGTCTGGAAAAACAAAACAGAAAGTTCTCCAGGTTACTGAGAACTGCACACAGCATGTTGTGTGAATAAGAGGGGCCTGAGCACCGCTCTCCATTCCTAACTGAGCTGTCTCGTGGAGGGCAATGAGTGGCCATCCAAGAACCATTGCACAATTCGTATAGATTGCTTTTCAACCCAAGCTTATGTGGTTTCCCTCCTAGCTATGCAGATCTCTGTCCGATCTGATGATCCAGTGTCTGGCGCTGGACCAGTCGCCTGACAGCAAACGCTTGTTCAACAGAGACTGAACTGTGCGCCCTGAGGCGAGGCAGTTATCTCCTCTGGGCCTCTGTTCTCTCCCGTAAAAGGGAGGTGACTATGTTACAGAAATTACTGGACTGATCAAAGTACCAACCAAATGGAAAATGGTTTTATAACCACCACAAGCTTCCTTAGCCTGCCAGCACCCTGGAGATGCAGCAACTCACAGTAAAAGAAAAACCAAAACCAACCAGGCATTCTCAGATTGGCCCTACAGAGAAAGCAGCCCGGAGCGGACAAACATTCCCAGAGATGCTGGGCCGGTCGTAAGCAGCAACGAGGGGACTTCCACAGAGTGACAAGAAGAGACACTCCACGGTGGGGGCTGGGGGATAGCTTAGTGGTAGATGCTTGCTCAGGGCTCTGGGTTCAATGCCCAGCACTGCCAAAAGCCTGGGGGGAGGGGGAAGGGCAGTGAGAGATAACTCCATGTCCTAACATATGAAGCCCTGGGTAGAACACACACACACACACACACACACACACACACACGAGAGAGAGAGAGAGAGAGAGAGAGAGAAAGAGAGAGAGAGAGATTTACCGCATACATGATAGAAACTTCATTTAATTTGTTCATTCATTTTCATTTGATTTTGTTGTTACTCGTTTCTTTTCTGGTACTGGAGAATGAACCCAGAGACTCTCAGCATGAAGCAAACAGTCTACCACATAACCACAGCCCTAGCTCCTCTATAATATTTGTATTTCAAGGTAGGGCCTAAGTTGCCCACGGTGCCCTTGAACTTACTCAAAGGGGCCTTGAAATTGCAATCCTTCTGCCTCAACTTCCCAAACAGCCAGCTGGGTCATGTCAAAGCCTGAGACACCAGACCCGGCCGGAAACTCCATTTAATTTCTTCTCACAAAAGAGATTTGGCAAGAGAAGACATACCCAAAATACATCCTGCAGAGGTTAACAGGGGCCCAGCTTTACCTCCAAGCCCTCTGGAGAAGGAGGCACAGGAATAATTACATCTTATGACTGGGGGGTGGGAAGAAGACAGACTGCACATCAAAGGGCTTTACAGAGCGGCCAGTCAGGGCGAGCCTGCTCACCCTGGGCTCTGGGCCTCTGCTTTGTTTCCACATGCGCGTCCCATCCTTAAACACAGTCACTGTTTCCTTCCACTCTCCACTCCCAACCTTTTCCTCTTTCCCAAGCAGGTCCCTATCTTAAATCCGCCAGCTCCTTCTTTTGCTGTGGTATTAAGATGCACCTTGGGCTTCCCTCCTTGGCCACTGGGCACGCAGCAGCCGACTTCAGAACCGACAAAGCCTAGCTTTCCAATGCTTCCACCGAAAGCTGAGTAGAGACGAACGAGCCCCTTCAGCGGGCTGGCGTTCAACTGTCCCTCACCATTTTTAGTCATTTGTGGGTTGCTGGGTTTTGTTGAGATGGGGTCTTGTTGTGTAGCCCACACTGGCCTTGAACTGGAGGCAATCCTCCTGCCACAGCCTCTGAAGGGCTCAGAATTACAGTTCAGCTACTGATTACTTGATTTTACTGTCAGATGAAGTCATTAACGCGAAAAATTAATTAATTAATTAAAAGACAAGAGTCAGGGATCTAGTTGAGTGGTGGCATGCTTGTCTGGTATGTGCAAGGCCCAGGGTCCAATCCTCAGTTCTACAAAGTAAATGTATAAACTCGAAGGACACATGACGATGAACACACGGCCTTTAAATATTTCTGGAAGTCGCCACATGCATCTACACACAGGGGTGGCCCACAACCCTACTCAAAGCACTTTCCAAAGCACAAAATGTGTGCCCAACTCAGCTCTTAAAGGGCACGTTTTCAGGTGAGCAACTGCACAAGAATCCAAAGCCAAAATGAAGGCACCCAGGCAGGCAGGGAATGGGACTCCAAGAGAAGGGTGGCCACTTAGACACAGAGACAAGCCCCCACCCAGCTTGTCCGAGGAAGACGCTTCTTCAGCCATCCCAAAACCTCCATCTCTCTCCCAACTCTCACTAAGCACCAAGCCACCTCTTGGTCCTCAGTCCCCTCATCCTTCAGAGTCTGGCAGATCTTTTTAAATCACAGAGGTTGCCCAGTTTCTGTTTGTCTCTTAACAACCCAGCCGCGGCACCGGAGGGTCATGCAAGGCGTGGGGAATTTCAGCGTTTATCAGCTGCTGAATCCCTGGGTCCCATCCCTCTCCTGTACAAAACAACACTAACACAGGAAAGAACAGCACACAGCAGTGGTATCCTGCTGTAATCGGGTGAGAGGGGGTAAAAAAATATATAGACTAATTCTCAGCTTACCACTTTTCTTTCTCAATTTTGTGTAAAAAAATTCTAGATATTAAGTACTGAAACTCCAAACTAGAAATAAAAAAGAAAGTCTGGCTCCCAGCCCTCCAGACTCAGCGACTCTTTTAGATCAGCCCAAAACCCTGAACTCTCACCTTCTTCAGAGGGCTGTTTCAAAGACAAGGATTCATAGAAAGATTATACATAAAGCCTCATGCTGTGAAAGTTTTGTTTTGTTTTGTGTGATAGGGTCTCATGTAGCCCAGGCTGGTCTCATATTCTTTATATAACTAAATCTGACTTTGAACTCTTGATCCTTTCGGTTCACCTTCTGAAAGCTGGGATTCTAGGCATGTGTACACACACACACACACACACACACACACACCAGTCCCTATGGGCTGGGGAGAGAAATCAGGACTCTACCAACTGAGCCACATTCTCAGTCCCCATGGGCAACGTATCCGTTTCAGAAAGCGACTTTGCTATAGTGCAAGTTTTCGGGGTGCCACATCGGAGTTGCCACCAGTTGTTTATTTGCACTTTGAGGGTTAGAGGCTCAGGCAATGAATGAAATGACCTAACAGACAGCCAGAGGAGAGCACTTCCCCTCACTGTAGGCCAAAATTTTCTTCAAGAAAACAGTGTGTGTGTGTGTCCGTGTGTGTGCATTCAACACACACATATTTGTACTTTTCAACATTGGCCTTCATTGTACAAAAAGTTCCTAAAATGCGGTCTAACCAAGGATTTTCAGAGATAAGCATCTATGGGGTGGGGGGGGGACCCGATCCCAACACCCAGAAAACTGTTATCTTTGCGGCCTGTCTCAAGCTCAAAACAAGGAATGTACTTAACGTCTCCGGAAAAAGCACGTGATCCCCAGCCTGGCACAATTAGTGCTTTTCACATTTCCCATTAACGCCCCCTCCACCTCACCCCACCCCAGTTGTCGCCTAAACCCTATTCACTCAGCGCACATGACCTAGGATTTCCAGCCCCATCGCTGGCTCGTTTTCGCCTCTCAGATTGCAAAATTTCACCCGTTAGGAAACATCTAGATGATGGACTGTCAAAGCCACCTGCTACTTGGAATGCCTTGGTTCCTCGACAGACGTGGCTGTCCCGCAGCAGAGGCATTAGGAGTAGTTTTAACTTTTGTTTGTTTGGGCCTGACTCTCACTTCCCAGGCTGGCCTCGAACCCCTCATCCTTCTGCCGCAGCTTCCAGGGTGCTGAGCTAACAGCCGTCAGTTTAAAGGGCCATTCCAATGTGTCTACTTAAAACTACAAACATGGCTGCTCCCGACCGGGAAGAAGTCTGAGAGGGGGGCTACTTATCTCTTCCGGGTTCCCAGCCCAAATGAGGCGCTGACAGCATGGACCAGGTCCCGAACCCGCGGCCAGCCGGAGGCGCGCATGCAGTCCGGGGTAGGGCTGCACGGACCCGGGCGGCCTGCGGCCTTGCGGGGCGAGCAGAGGCACTTCGGGAAGCTCACCGTCGCTGGAGTTCGCCTGGGCCTCGGCGGTGCCCGCCGCCAGC